TTGACCATGGTTCAAAATTACGTGGTCCGTCGCCAAAAGCCCTCGTGCAGCTGAACAGTGCGACGTTAATATTCAATCAATCAATAAAGCAACACTAGGGTTACTGACGACCAAACTCGTAATTTTGAACCTCGGTCAAGTGACGAAAACGACACTTGAGCTGGCATCTCCCTCTCCAAATTACCACACCACGCGGACAAGATGACTCTGAGCTCAACAGACTTATGTTTCATCAGCCATCTCAACGAGACGGGTCTTTATTAGCACCAGGACTCGAGCCCGTGAAACACTGATCACGAATATGTTATCATAGCCACTAGGTCAGTGATCCCCATCCCCCAGGCCGGAACCAGTCTATGGATCTAATGGTACCTCCGGCAAAGAAACACATTTAATTATTTCCATTTTATTAACTGTGTTGTATCTCTCTCGGGTTTTAGGTGATTTTCCTTGAAACCCACTTTATATTCATTTTTTGGTGTAACTGTGTATTTTATTATGAAGGTGTATCTTTTTTATAAAGGAGAAAAACGACTCACTCACTCGTCACGATATCTCCGGAACAATTAGACCTCCCCCCCTCCCTCAGACTTGAAATTTAGTAGACGTGTTCTTTGTATAGAGTAGAGATCCGCTACGAAAGGGCTTTGCGAAATTTGCAGGTCGGGGGGGGGGGGGGATTTGCGAAAGGTTATAAGTGCCGTTTTTGAACTATCAGACCTACAGATATCTAATTTGGAAGGCATGTTCATTACATAGAGTAGAGGTCTGCCACATAAGTGTGGTTTTGCAAAAATAGAGCTCTCAAAGAAGATGGGGGTTAAAGTGATGCTATAGATAAATATTCCCGTTTTTGTACTATTAGACCTACAGACTTAAAAGTTATATAGTAGGCTTGTTCCTTTCATGGAGTAGAGATCCGCTAAGAAAGGGTTTTGTGAAAATCAACACGTGGGGTTAAGTGCGTTTATAGATAAATATCCTATTTCTGAATTATATGACCCACAGACTACAAATTTAACAGGCATGTTCCTTTCGCGAAGTAGAGACCCGCTACAAAAGAGGTTTTGTAAAAGTAGAACTCCTCCCCGAAGGGAAGTACGAGGGTGTATTATATTTTAAAAAAATTTCTTTTGCGAATTACTAAACCCTACAACCTTGAAATTTGGAAAAACATGTTATGTTTGCTGAGTAGAAATAAGCCTAGAAGGGTGCTGTCAGAAGTTAACCCACAAGAAGGTTATAGTAGCATTACAAATAAAAATTACATCCCTTTTATAGCTATTAGACTACAGACTTAAAATTTGGTAAATATGACTTATTGTTGATCAGGAATATGATTAAAAAGCTTTTTTTTTTTGTTCAATTTGCAATTCACTTAAATTAACTCGTTAAAAAGTTCTTTAACCTTCAATCTCTATTGTTTTATTTTTCAATTAACCCGTACGAAGAACAGGTATACCAGCTAATTTCAATGTAATTAAATAAAAATTATTAAAGAAAAATAATCTAAAATACTAACAATCAACGTCCACCTTCAACGGGCCGCGGCAAGATTATCAAACGCTGACCGGTCCACGGCGATGTAAAGGTTGGGAAGCACTGCACAAGGCTACCGCTGCCACCGAATATAAATTGAAACGTGCTCAAAACAACATGGAGCGAAATTTCACAACAATTAAATAAAAATTATTTAAATTCGTAGTAAATAAATTTAAAAAATAAATAAAAAATCACTTATTAATTAATTTTAGCTGTGGGAAATTTACACGAAATAATCAATAAAACGCGAAACAAGATTTTAAAGCATACAAACAGATATTAGGATGTTGTATCTCTGCGAAATAATTGAAAACAAGTAACATTCATATGTAAAAAAAATAATAAGTCAACTCCTACTTAGATTAACAAAGAAAATTTTTATTTCATTTTTACTTTTTACTCAATAATTACAATTAATATAAATACATATATACATATGACAGAATCACACACTATTAAGTGGCAAAATAGAAAGCAATTTTCTTGGCAATTTTCCATTTTCCTTTCTAAATAAGGTGTTGGACTATTATTTGTGTTCCTTACTATTTATTCATTAATTTAATTTAATTATTCCAATAAAATAGTATAGCAAAAAGAAATCCCATTCTCAGAAATTATTCCATCCCAGGTGGGATTCGAACCCACGACCTTTGGATTAGAAGTCCAACGCGCTATCAATTTCGCTACTGGGACACAACAAGTAATTTTTCTTTTTATATAGGGTGTTGGACTATTATTTCGGTTTGT